ATCTGAAGCTTCTTTTTCAGCTTTCACTTATTTTTAACTTCTCTGTTCTGGCACAGAAAAGGAAATTGTCTACATTTATAGAGCTCCTTTTATTTTTCTAGATATCAACTGAACTGATGCAGTAGTCAGTTGTCTTCCTACTTCCTGTGTGCTTTCAGGTAGCTGTAGCATTTTTCTGTTCCCCAGGCAAAGATATAACAGGTGCCTTATGTGGAATCAAATTTGGTGTATTTCTCATTTACCTAGATTCCTAACAGGATTTCTCTACACACAAAGAATAACTAGGTCTAAGAATTCATTTCATATCATCTTGTATGGGTATTCAGGAGCAACAGAGATGGAACATGGGGTGGCAAGAATCCGTGTTATCCCAAACTGGAATACATACGTTGCACTAGTAAAAATCCAGTGTTATCTAAGTGCTTCTCAGACCAATATGGACATAGGGTTTACATCAGGGCATAGTAGTGAGGCACTACCCATAACAAAGAATACAAGTATAATTCACAGATTTATTTTTTTTTCTCTAGTACATTTTTATTTTCATTTCAAACTGCTAAATTAAAAGTGCATGCTTTTGTCACTCTGACCTGTGTTTTTGTCCAGGCTTAGTATGGTACAATTGATACTAGCCCAGTGTGAACTGCTGTTGGGTCTACTAAAGAGGCACAGCATAGTGTGATGATGTTTGTTTCTGCTGAGATTTAATGGCTATTTGACTTGGCAGCTGCTTTCTGAGACATGGTTCTCACAGGGGATCTCTTCATTTCAACAGCCACAGTAGAGGTTTCCTCTCTGGTACTGAGTGTCAAACATCTGCTCTCCTCTTATCTTTCCCTTCCAGTTTTCCCTGTCTTTGGCATAGCTAGCCACAGGCCAGGACTCCTTCCCCCCCCTCAGAATTGTGACAGCAGCTCTTTCTTGCTCAGGACCACGGTAGTCTGTATCTATTTCAGGAAATGTGGGGAGCTACTTTGAACTGTTCTTTCCATCTTTGCCATTTGTGATTGCCCTCCACAGCCATCTTTTGAGTGCCTGGAATTATCCTGAAAGTACCAGAATCACATCAGTTGGTAAAAGGAAGAGTCATCTCCAGCATCTTTGCAGTATTTAATCTTTTCACCGACATGCACCTGTGGCTGCATTTTTACTCTAGTTCACTTCTCTGTTTTATAACATACTTTATTGCCGTGCTCCAAATCTTCCTTCCTGCCCTACACAATTTATTCAGATGGAACCTGGGACAATTAATTGTGTGTTTAGGTTTTCATTTTTGCAAGTTCAACCTGGAATTTAGTGTAAAGAGATGGACAATTTAAAGTACTTTATTTTCTTTAAGATCCTGTCGTGCAGGGTCAAATTAAAACTTTGTTTTACTTGGTCTTTATCTTTGTTGATACTTCTATCTCAACTTCTCTATTTTTGAAAAGGATTTTCATTTAATAAGCTTTAATAACAAGACTCAAATAGGAAATGTGTCTATGTATCTTCTTATAAGGAGAAAAATAGATTCCTTTTCATGTACAGATTTTAGCTTGAGGTTTCTTCAGGAATGATTACAGTTGCTTTCATAGGCCATCCTTCATTGTCTTTTTGCACCATCAATTCATTAAAAAAATATGTGAGGAAATAAAATACTGTATTTTCTAGTCATTTATGGGCTTATTTGGAGACTTGTACAAATATACAGGACTTCATTACCTCCTATTACCAGAATGAACCCTACCCCCCGCTAGGTAGGTTTAGGTCTAGAATTTGTATGGCTGGCAGTGTTCCAACAAACCAGTATCTCTGAAGGCTCTAATCTTTGAAGGCTCAGACTTGTAAGCATTAAGGCATAATGAACAGACTTTCAGATCTTAAAAACTTGGAGTTTTTACTAGAAAATAACTGTATTTGGAGAGAAAAAAAAAATGAGTAGGAGGTTTGAGGTACTGATATGCTACTCTGCATGGAAAATCCAATCATACATTTAGACACATAAACATTGGATGGAGTGGTGAAAAGCTGAGCAGATGGGGAAAGAGGACATATGTTCCTAAGTGGGCTGTACCTAAGTGGTGTTTCAGAACTGTGTTATGGGTCAAGAGTTGATTTGAGAATACTGGGGCATCATGCTGGTTTATTGTTTCTTAATGTCAAATTATAGCCTTGACTGATGGATGCAGCAATACCTTTTAGTATTTAACATCTATTTTGCTGACATTTTAGTGTGCAGATTCAGGTAACTTTCCTCAGATCTAGCACGTTGTCTAAACTTTCAATAAGAAATATCACTAACCTTCCAGAAGAGTTCCAGAAAGGAACCTAGATATTCTCATGGATTCCAATTCAGCCGAATCATGCTGAGATACAAATTAACATCTGTGTACAATTTGTAGGAAATAATAAAGCCCTCTCTTTCAGTTTTCTTCCTTTTTTTTTTTTTTTTTTTTTTTTTTTTAATTCTCTTGCTCCCACATGAAGAAAAAGATGACAGGTACCTCATGACTGCTTACTCTTGTGTTCTGCTTTTCAAGGGAAAGAGCTGATTGCAAAATGCTTAGTCCAATTTGGATGTTTCAAGTAGAGAAATGAAAGCTTAGAAAAATATTACTATAGAGATTCCTTTGCTAAGTAACCAGACCTGGGGTAGAAATAATACTCAAGTAATTACTGCTGTCTTTCTACAACAGAATTTATATTCAATATTTTATATGTTAAATTGATATATTTTTTCCTAGACCATCTGAAAACAGAGATATTTCTAGATATTTTCATGTGCTGGAGAAATATTCAAATGAAATCCCAAAGACTAGCCACCTTGATTACAGAAGGGAAATATTTCTCAAGTATTTTGGCTTGTGGAAAGTTAGACTTTGCAGATGAAGACTGATATTAGAATAAATGTCTATTTTTTATTAATCATGAGTAAAAGTGGTTGAATTCAACCACAGAATTTCAATGTACATTTTAAACTCAATCTTTCAATCATCTTTTCTATTCTGAAAGCAGCATAACAAAAAGGTGTATTCACTAACACTGTAAACTTGCTGGAAATACTTTACAGCATCTTGCACTGTGCTTATCCAGAGACAAGGACTACCTTTGTATTTAACTGGAGTACTATATAGTGTCCTTAGAGGCCAGTGCATTGAAGTTTTCCCTTTTATCTGCACAGGAAGACACAGGCATGGTAGTTACAACAAAGTCAGTGGGAACATCTGCCAAGATCTGCTGGAGAAAGAATCTCAACAAAGAGTCAGACAATAGGGAAAAGCCTCTCTTTACTTTTACTGGCCAGATTGCATGTAAAATTCACATAGAGAGACACAGTTTATAAATAACGCAATGGCTGCACATTTACCACAGAAGTTGGTCTGTCTATTGATGTTGCCTCTGTAGCAGTCTCATCCTGACTGTATGCCAAATAGCTCCTGGCAGATGCTCAGCTCAGTGAGTCTACATTCCTTAGCAGCTACAGTTTAGCAAATACTTGTAAGAGACAGAGACAGACTGTAAAGCTGCTGGTTCAGAAAGGATTTTGCTTTAGAGGTAGGAAATGATTATGTAAAGAAAAGAAATGAACAGCTACAGGTTTGAACAAGCAACAGTGGGCTCGTGCAGACCATGCTGACCTTTGGCATAAAGGATGACAAATTAGTCACAAACAGTGATACTAATGCAAAAATACAATCCCAAACTGGATGTTTAAGACCATCTTTCGCAAGGAGGTGCAAGTTCTACAAAAGTTTGCATATACTCTGAAATCTTAAGTGAAGTGTAGGAATATCTCTTTCCAAAAGTGATATTTACAGAGTCATATAAGATGGAGCCTTGTTTTCAGTCGTTATCTGTGTAACACACAAGTTATAACAAACTGTGATCTTTTTATACTCAGTCCAGGAATTTATTTATTTATTTATTTATTTAGAAGTTACCAGCTCATGCTTGTCAGTGATGTCCAGGATCTCAGCTAGTATTTCGGCCATTTTTTTTCTAGGGTAGACCACTTGTCAGACTCAGTCCAGAAGACAATGTTGAATATTTCATTTGAGGAAATGAAAATATCAAGTCAAGACACTCAGAAAAGATTTGTGGTCCTCATAAGGACCCTGTATGAGGAACCCCAGAAGGCTTAGAAGGAAAGATGTGAGGATGTGACAGAGAAGAGATAATAATAAGAAAAACTGATCACAGGAAAACAGTGATAAATGATGTCTGGCAATCAAAGATTAATGCAGAAAATAGCAAGAACACATAAGGAACACAGAATTTGGCCCAAAGTGCAGCTATTGTTTGTTGTGTGAATTTAACTTTCGTGGTGTGTTGAAAAAACATACCTAGTATCCTAAATATGCTGTCTAATACATATAAGAATAGATTGATCCTCCAAATCAAACAGAGTAACCAGATGTCTGCCTCACTATACTCTGGCAGACAGTGGAACAAATCCCTGTAATAATCTGGTGCTAACATCCAAGGGCAAAATTGTAACATCTTGTCAATTTTCCATGTGCAGAAATATGCCCCTCACATGCTGTGGAAAACATTGGTGTTATAGACTTCTAAAATCTGTGTAATCCCAATGAAAAGAAGAAATATGATGGGACATCATTAGACAAGAACTGAGGCAGTAAGAGCTAACAATTTTCCCAGTTTGGGCACTTTATTAGTATAAATACTTGTAAACATAATTTAAACTGGAAATTCTTTTTGTGCTTTCCTTTTTTTTTTTTTTTTTTTTTTACTGTGTGTTCCTATTATTCAAGTCTCTTATGATTACAGCTTTCAGAATAACATTATATTCACACCTTTCCTGTTGTGTTTCTATGAATTGATCCAATTGACCCATTCAAGATATATTTTTGCAGTTTTTCACACTCAGACATTAGCCTTCAAGAAAACCTAAGTTAGGTCTGTCTTGACAATGTCTTTCCTTTTTTTTTCTTTTTATTTTTTCCCCATATACTTAACTTTTGTTATTTCTTTTTTTACACGGTTTTAAAACCTCTGTCCAGGTGTAATTGCTGTTGTGAAATGTAGAAGACCTGCCCCTTGCACCTCTCACCCAACATGTTTTCTACTGCTGTCAAACTGTGAAAAGAGTACAGAGTTGTGAAGTGCTATTTGTTTGACTGTGACCATCCCGTAAGTATAGTGATAAGAGGTATGACCTGTCATAGTTTAGTTACAATGGTAGCACAAAACCTAAATGATGATAATTTAAATGTCAACAATATCAAGACCGAAACATAAAAGAAGGAAGAGAAATGATACTAATTATACTTCAAGATTATAGAAGCAGATCGAAAAGCAGTTTGAGAGTCTAATAGTTTGTCCTTAAGACAGGATAAACTAGATTTAAAAGATTCATGGTAGCTATTTCTCTAACTTGTTTTCAGAAACTTCCACTGATAGAAATTCCATAGTATTCCATGGTAATCTGTTGTAGTGCTTAAACACCTTTACAGATCAAAAGTTTTTTGTCATGTCTAAACTAAATCTCCTTTTCTATCATTTAGGAACAATACTTCCTGTCCTTGTCATAGGGACAAGGAAAATAACCTTTTTTAGCAATATTTCCTACATTTTGTGATTGAAAAAATTTTATATCTCAAATTTCTCGAGATTCTTCTTTTCTTATATATTAGCTCAGCCCTGATGAGGTAACCGAATGGGATCTTTTGATCACATCAGAATTGAATTCGTCACATAGTGTTTAACCCTAAATTATCTAAATGTGTTTGTCAGGTTTGTGAAACACACAGTTGAAATGCTGTGTTTAGACATATTCAGAGTATTGTGATCCCATAAGAGCCACTGGAAATATAGGGCTTGATTTAGCTGCCCACCCATGCCTATTGTCATCTGTGGTACCTAGTGTGTCTGAAAGATCCAGATGGGACTGACATATATGACACAACACCAGTGAGAAAACTGCTTTCCTGAAATAGTATCTGGAGGTCACTGAATGAAGTCTAACTTTGCCTGGAGAGCTTTTCAGTTGAGAATGTGTTTATGTTCTAATGGTCCTTTGAGATGCCCTATCATACCTGAGACATGCAGATGTGACTGCAAGTTAAGACATAAGGCCAACAAGTGACATGATTTTCCGGAGGGGCTGCTGGGGGGCAGGCACAATACCATAGAGTAAATCATTGCTAGATGCCCGTGGTGTGCAACTAAACCTTAGACCTGCAATGACTATAATTATCACTTGGACATTGACATTTAGTTGCCTGCTTTCTGCAGCTAAGTCATTTTTGGAGTTGGAGTGAGTTGCCCCCACACAGACGTCTATTGCCTTTCAATACATTGTACAGTGTGTGTTGGCCTCCAGCCACTATGAAGGAAGAATACTGTTGTTTCAAAGCTCCTGTATCATTTCAGGCAGTCTCTTCTTGCATCTTGGATACTGTAAAGAGCTTCAACTGGAGTGCTTGGATCTCTGTGTGAACATCCAGTGAATAATGACAATACCCAATCTTTTCTTAACTTTTGGATGGTCTTAATCACCTAAAGAAAACCTCTGGACATTTTAGATTCCCATTAGAAATTTATCCAAGTCTTCTAGTAGCAAGACCTTTTCTAATTTTTTTTAGTCTGTCCTCATGACTTACATTTTTAAGAGTACTATTTATTTGTGTTGCTGTTTACTGGTTTCATATAATACATCATAATCTTTTTCTCTTTTTCTGGAGAGAAGGTAAAGGAGGAGAAGTGATAGCTGGATAGCTTGGAGACAGTACTTCAATATTTTTCAGCGGCACTGCTGTCTAACTCGTTGATCTCACTGTTGTAATTCTGGTTATTTATATCTATTTAAAAGTAATATTTTGCTCTTGTCCCATTTTGAATTGTATTCTGTTTACTTTATGCTATTTTCTCCATTTGTAAATCATTTTAAATTCTAATCCTATGCTTCAATATACTTGCATCTGCTCTGAGTTTGGTATCATCTGTAAATTTAATGAACATTGCTTCTCTTTCACTGTCCAGATAATTAATGAAAATATTAAATAGTGCCAGGTTCAGACCAGACATCTGTGGACCAACACTTGACACAACTTTCTATTTTGACACGATCATGATATCTATATTTTCAGCATAGATCTTCATCTAATTGAATATTCAACTCAAATATTTTTTTCTAGATTAATTTTCACTCCTTTTGTGGTGAGAACATGTGTCACAATATCACATACATTACTTACATTGCATTATATGACAACAAATCTTTTTCTCCCTTACTACAGATCGAAGTTTCTTTGGAATGATATAATTTGTTTTTGACAGATCGATGTTGACTGTTACTTAGCCTCTTGCTATCTTCTGTATGCTTACCAACAGACAGTCTATCCTAGTTATTTTCTGAGTTTGAAAGTATGATGATAGTCCTGTAATACCCTGCCTATTCCTTTTTATAGGTAAGCTTTGTGGTTTTACACTTCTAGTCATGTGGAACTTTATCCATCCTGCACAAATCTTGGATGAAACCCCACTAACATTTTTATTGCTTTACCAGATTGAAGTCTAAGTACCTCAGGGTAAATTTCACCAGGTTTAGATGACTAATTTACTGTCTAGTAGGATATTACCATAATTTCTCAAATATTTGAACTTGCTATGAGGCTTTTTTAGATAAAGTTTTGAGATTTCTGTTTGTTTGTTTGTTTGTTTGTTTTTTAGACTCCTTCTCCCCAGTCTAAATATTCTCCTTGAACAAACAATAAGAAAAGATGGAATCTAAAAAAAGCCTGAAAGAAAAATATTTTATTGTCCCTAAAATCTTTTAAAGACAGCAGTTTATAAACTTGATTAATAGTATTATAATTGTTAATGGTTAAAAAATATTTGGTTTTAAACATAAAACAAAGACCCTTTTATATTACAAGTGAAATGTCAGAGGAAATATCTAACATCTTAAAGATATTACCTATAACAGTTTTCTAAAATAACAAGCTTGTAAATAATAAGAAACGTATACACAACACTAAAGTATTGTTATGGCTGGGCCTGGCTTACTTTAGTTTTCTATGGAACAAAGAATATGAAAGCACAAGGAGAAACTCAGGCTGGAATGTCAAGCTCTAATAAGATGGTTTTATCAGGACTAAGCTGTCTGGTGCCATACCAGACTCTCCTAAAAATGAAATACAAATAAACAAACAACTGCAGATAACACTGCATCATCTAAACAGACTGGAGAACAAACTGTTGTACGGCCTGGACAGTCTGTTATACAGACTTGAGACAGATCATAAACAAAAACAAGCTTCTGCAATTTCAAAGGAAAAGCTGAGCCATGATAATATATGCTTCAGAATTTCCATATGCAGAAAACAAGAAATAGCTTATTAACTCTTGCTGCATAAATAGCTCAGGAAGCATCTTGATTAAAAGGATTTCTTGCTGCTAAACTTGGATATTAGTACAGGAAAAAAAAAAAAAAATCAAATGAACTTTGAATTACATTAGATAAGCTGAAAATTCTATATAACCTTTCTGAGGGAACCTTGGGACACTGGTACCACATCAACTATTTATTTCTTACAGAAGGAATTCAGTTTCAATTCAGAAGCAAATTATGGGATTTGCATGTTATATTGTCAGAAAAAAACTGGTGAGGTCAGACCAAAACTTCTGGGTAACCACCAAGAAACAGTCTGTGTGCACATTATCCAAAGGTATTGGGATGGACTGCAATAGCTCATTTTCCCTTCTGATTGCTGTAATTCTATACAAGTCCCACTTGCTATAATGTTTAAGAATTTAGGTAGATAAAATAGTTGGTATGTCTCAAGTTTTTAACCCCTGCAGGAAAAAGAGAAGAATGAGATGTGCAATATTCTCCTGAATGAAATCTGAAATTTTATTTAGACTGTAAGATGAGCTACTACGAACTTTCAAAAGAATTGAAAATTTCATCCAATCAAAGGTTTCAGTAACAAAGAATTTCTCTTCCTGTAGCCTAACTTTCCTTAGAAATCTTTCTACTGTTTGCCTGGTTTATTTAGTTTAACAAGACAAAGGTCTAAACACAAATCAGAAAATTTTCTGATTATTTCTCTGGTTATTTCTTTATGAAATAAAGACATTTCTTTATGAAATAAAGAAATAAACTATCTGAGTAATAAATAATCTGAGCCGTAATATCTGGGGGGAAAAATACCATATAAAAAGTTTTATAATGAGATTTTTAGATCCCATGATTTTCATTAATTCATGACAAAATGATGAGAAGGAGATGGAAACCAGGGTTGGGAGAGAGGGAACTGAACGGAAGGTGAAGATCAACTGATGGAAGTACCTTCTTTAAAAATACACATTTGGGCACTTTTTTCTTTCAATTTTTTTTTCTTTTTTTTTTTAGCGTAGAAGTATAAAAGTGTTAAATATTTCAATTTTTTTGCAAAACAGAATTATTCTTTAGCTTGCCTTATTACTGAGACCATAAAATTCATTCGACTAATTTAACATAGTTCTTGTCCTAACTCTTAATATATGCCAAGAATAGTTTTTTGGATAATGAATCATTTTTTGTAGTCCACAAGGCACAGCCTTTCACAGAGAAAGAAGCCTAAAATAACTGTGATTTATAGGGTACAATGATAATTTTTTTTTTATTGTTTTGCTAGAATAACATAAAAATTGATTGTAAATCAAGATGACAATTACACATTATCTGTGCTTATACCATCAGAGAATTTCACTATTATAAATTAGAAGGAGTTTAATTTTAAGCATATGCTTAGGTGTTAGGATTTTCTTTTGTTTGTTTATTATTTATTATTTTCCTATAACATTTTATGTCCACATATGGAATAAATGAAAAAAAAAAAATTAACTGTTTAGCATCAATATGTAAGAAGGTAGCTTTTTAATATAACTAGCATTTAAGTGATTCAGTAATTGTTTATAAACCTATCTTACAGACAGTTTCACTCTGTTGGATTGTTATGTTCTTTGATTTGATGAAGATTTTGGTTGGCATAAATCTGGATTTACTGATCAATGAAGACGAATAAGCACAATTTTCTGTTGGGATTCAAGATTACCTGCACTAGAAAACTATGATAAATGTTAGCACTTCATGAATTGGAATTATTAACATTTAATTTACTATTTCTTGATACATTTTAGCCTTATATGGTAAATCCATCACTTAACCTTTGCAGGAAATATAATTGTCTTCATTTAATTTATGTAAATTGTTATTTGTTTTCAAATTGTGTGATGATAAATATACTGGTTTGTTGTTTATCTAAACAACTTGAAATTAATGATTTTGTAAGATTTATGCTACAGTTAAAATATTAACTTCCTTTGTTTAGATCATGTTATATATTTTATTCAGTTTAATGTTCACATACCTTGCAACACTTTCATGCTACCAAGCTTTAGGTGCTTATACTTGACTGCTGATAAAGTGTGGAATTGCAATCTGTTATTGTAATACTCTGAAATGAAAGAGAAATTTGTGCTATACTTTTATCACTGTTTAAGTTGTTTCCAGAAAATCTGATTGAAAGTATAGAGAAAGCAGCCATGAAGAGGAAAGCACAAGCAATCTTCCATTCTCTATATTATGTCCTGACACATAGTAGATCAGCATCTTTTTGTGCAACAGACAGTCTGGGATAATGAATATCAATTTCATGCACGTTACACACAGGCAAGTCTTATTGCTCACCTTTTTTCTTACAGTTTTCTTAAAAATCAGACTGGATTATGAAGTCTATTTTAGTTTCCACATTCTTAGTATAAACTAAAAAGACATTTTGCACAAACCTTTCCTGGTAAGAGTTTAAATTTAGTCATATATTCCTTTGAAAATGTGAACAATTGCTTTTAGGGAAAAGGAATTCAGTTGTACAGGCTGGAAAGCAGCCACTCTGCACTCCTACCAGGTCTCTGACTTGAATGATAAGGTGACCAGGGCTTCCCAGCCTGCCACAGAGACACTTACCAAGCAATTTAGATGCAGCATTACTTTCTGAGTTCCACATTAAAAGTAGATAGATTTTTATTTATTTATTTATTTATTTATTTATTCTCCTTATATTCTAACTGTAGGGAAATCTGAGAAGTAATTCAGGTGTCTGATGTCTTTTTAGATGCTCTAAAGTATATAAAACACCCACACAGGACTAGAAGGTGTGATACAGGACCTAACTGTGACTCCTGTCTTTTAGAGAAGCATTAGGAGGACAGACAAAATATTTTAGGACATAACATAAAACTAGCATAGCATCAAGCACCTTTTTGTAGATTCCTCTATCTCATCCATTTAGAATTTTAGATTGTTTTCTCTCTGATGTGAAAGTTTTTCTCTCATAAAAAGCAAATTTATATTTTGATAGATTTGTGAGTTTTTGCTTTCCCTGTGTCTGGCTACCTGTGTCTGGCTACATCAATTTGCGATATTATATTTAGCTGGTGTAGAAATGCTCAGAATGTTACATTTGGTAACACTGTGATCCTACTGTGATCAGAAGTCACACAAAATGTAGGTGGAGTTGCATGGGCAGCAACTACATATTTTCATGTAAATTTATCTATTGCCAAATGATTTGTGTGTGTATATGCAAGAAGCAGAACTGTCCCCCAAGGTGAAAATAGAAAATGTTTTGTAGGTATGAATCTTATTTCAGAAGTAGAACAGATCCTCCCACGGAAACATTTCCGTCCCAGGGTGCTCAGTATATGGCATGTAAGCCTGAGTTGAAGCTGGTTGGGGCTAAGCTTTCTCCCCACAGTTTTAAATAGATCCATATTTATGGGGCTACTAAGAAAAAGTGGTATGCTTTGCACATATATTCCGTTCCTCACATCTCTCTTTTCAAAGGAAAAGTCCTAGTCTGACTCACTGTTTTCCACACATTTTGTATAGGTGACATACATGTAGAATATTTACAAGCATTAACTACTGACTTTGCAAAGCAATGACTTTTATACAGTCACCAAAATGACTGTTCCACTTTCACTTTCTTTACAGACAATGAAATTGCATCTAGAGACTTAATTCAAGCTTTTCTCCACTGATAATTATACCCATTCCCTTGTAAACCTATTGCTACTGAAGTGCAATGCAATAAAAATATCATGTTTCTTTACAAATGTTTAGATGCAACATGTGCTTGAAATTCTATTTCCAATAGCAACAATTATCTGACAACATCATCTTCTGAGCAGAGAAGACCCTTTAGGTGAGTATCCCAGAGGAATGGGACTCAAAAGATCTGATCTCTGTGCATATTTCTACCATTGGGCTGTCAGGTTATTTGGCAAATCATTTCACTACTGTGTGCTTTTCTCTCCTTGTAAAAGGAGGGAGACGCATATTTTGTCAAAAGCTTTGATAAAGCGCTAGCTTTTGTTATTCTGCAGTGCAATAGCATATCAAGACCAGTGTTAAATGCATCAGAGAATGGTACCAAGCATTTTCTAAATAATTATATGTGTACGGTCTCTGATACTGGATTTTACAGAAATGTAAAAAATAGGTAGCACTCTTTTTCTCTTCTACCCTAAAGGTGGTAAAAACAGCTTTTTCACAGCAGTGAGAGAAAAAAGCAATTTGTTGTTGGCATTGGTGGTTTTCCCTAGGAGAAAACAAACAAACAAACAAATCTAATAACAAGGATAGTTATAAATTTGACATCTTGAAAGAGTACCTCAATTAAAAGGACAAATGAACTAGATTTCTGGAATATAACTTAACACATAATTTAACCAAATAAAAATTGTGTGTAAATCTCACTTTCAGTATCAGTTTAGTTTCTAAATATTTGTACACCTTATCAACATGGCATTTTTTATGCTAGTATTGCTGTCACTATATTTATAAGAAATCCCGGGAAACCAAGGTTTTACAGCTTGTGTAAGGTACAAAATGTGCATAGGCAGGAAATCTTTCTTGTTATATGTGGCTTCCCCATAGCTACTTTGCATTTTACTGTTTTTCTACAGATTTTATGTAAAAGACTAAATTTAAGAAATAAAAGTCAAACAAACTAAAATTAAAACAATTCCTTTTTTAACAATTTTGTAAACAAGTGCATTTTTTTCAAGGACAAATAATCTACACTGTCATTTTCATTAATGTGTTTAGGAACCATAACTAAATTTAGATGTCTCTACTCAGACTGATTATTCTAGATCACAGTCACTGTGCAAAGGAATGATTTTAATATTGTCTTCACCTACTGTTTTAGCAGAAACTTCCTCCATAGGACATGTAACCAGCTCTATTACATTATAGTTCATACAGGATACAAATATTTCATTCCTGGCTGCAGCATGTTATCAGAGTATATCTTACAACAAGAGATCTGATTAGCCTTATCGTTATCTTAGCTACCATAGTTACAAATGTTATTACTGGGTATAAAATTATCCATCTTTTTTTTAAGACCTAGTTGAAATATTTTCTCTCATGATTTTCTGACTCTATTTGCTGAGAGTATAAAGGCATCTTTTATAATTTGCTGGATATTTATCTTTGTTATTTTATGATTTTATGCTTTTTTAATATATTGTGGGACAGAACATGACAGTAACTATTTTATTTTATTTTTATTTTATTTTGTTTTGTTTTATTTTATTTTATTTTATTTTATTTTATTTTATTTTATTTTATTTTATTTTATCCTATGTGTTATATTGTATCAATTATCTTATTCAGTTCCCATTCAGTATTTCTCTTTTACTGACTAAATAATTCAATATTTTTCATGTTTTTACTACATGTAAATTCTGCCTTACATATCTTTCTGGCCCTAGCTGGCCGTATTCCACCTCCAAATGTGTCTGAATGCCATTATGTGGAAACCAGTTCAACATAAAAAAGCATAATTTCTGAGTTGCTATTCCAGGCTATTCGGTCAATGGTCTGTGAACTCAAGTATCTCTAAGTAAATCAGAAACTGTTAGGTCATTATAGCTGTGAAAAAATAATAATAATAATAATAATAACAACACTCGATAATAACACTCTACTCTTTTTAGTAGAATTAAAACTTAGTAAAACTTGGGACTTTTTTTTTTTTTTTCCCTGTAATGAATCTGACAAAGTTATCAACATCTGGTGGCTCTGAAAATAACAGATTTAAGAGACATGATAACTCCTAAAGCCTCCTTTATCTGGTACTTTTTGGAGAGGAGGGTAATTCAGATCATCTTGTAGGTTATCAGCAGTACATCTTAAATCAAAATCTAGAGAAAGCCTCCAAAAAAAAAAAAAAAATCTGTTGTTTTGGGGTAGATTAAATCAGTTTTATCCTGTGTCTGTTGCTGTCTGAATTGTGCAGGTTCCTCTACGCTTTATTAGCCTATACATAACTAGAGCCTTGCCTCTTCATACACTGAACCTGGAAACTTGTCATCTTTCTGATGAGGAACTAGCCCCAGAAGTAAGGCCTAGAGTCTGTCCCACCTACAGATGTAGGCATGCACTGTAGACATGTGCAAGGAAGCCTGTGATATACAGTTTCTTAAAAGTAAACTGAATAAATTATTAAATATTATTAGGATTTATTTAAGCTGATCTATTAAGCTGATCTAGACATCTACCTTAGAATGACATGAATTAGGCTTCAAAAGTTTCGATTTTTTCCAACAGGTTGTATAAAAGGGAGCTTTTGAATGTTAATTCAGATGTAGATGCCTGCCTTTGACCAAATGAATCCTATGTGTTAGAGACGGTGTGGCTCACTAGAATTCTTTGTCATGCACACCGGCAGTGTGCATCTCAGGTAGCATGAGGAGACTATGTCAAATTAACTCTAGCCTATGTGATCTTTTGATTGAGGGATCCAATTTGAAAGAACTCCCAAACATTTCTACAATCCACCAAAATATTTGGCCTTCCCACGGAAATCTAGCATAGGCCATTTCTTTACAATCAAGGATAACAACTGTGGTGGTTGCTCCCACCTCTCATCTAATGGATTAATGTTTTCTTCAGCCAGAATGGCTGTCAAACTGCATCTTCCAGACACTTGGAAAGTCTCTGCAGTACCAAAATAGAAATGAATAGTTTAATAGTTTAAAATTAATAGTTTAAAATAATAGAAGTTTAAAATTAACAGAAGTTTTAATAGAAAGTGCTGGAAACAGAACTAAGTAAAAGTGGTGAAATAGTGCTATAGTGTAAAATGCAAAGACATCTTAAAAGATTAATTTTTGCTAGATAGGAAAAGTAAAAATAATAATAATAATAACAATAATCATGAGAAATCAAAGCCTTAAAAATGTCTCCTACAGAAAGAAGTCTGAGCTTTGTTCTCAACTACCAAGAATATTAAGGTATTTTACATGTATTTATTTTTAAATGTAATAAAGCAACTTCAACCTCCAGAAAACAAGAGTGCCATTTTCTAAACAGGCTCTCAAAGTAAGCCACCATGTTACTCTTATGCTCCTTCACTGCGTGGCATATAGGTACCTAACTTTGGAAGAGTCTTCTGGGCTCTAAATTCTGAAAGTCATT